ACGCTCCCCCTGCTCCAGGAAGGCGTCGACGGCCAGCCTGGCTGTCTCGCTGTGCTGCAGCACCAGCGGGGTTGGCTCCCTCCACCACGGCTTCTTCAGCTGCTCCAGGCGGTTCTTCAGCGGCCCCGACACCCCTTGCTGGCTCCCATAGCTGCGGGGGAACTGGGGCCTCACCTCTACTGCCAGGTAGTTGAACATGACCGGAGCTATGCGGTGCCTCTCCAGCTGCGTTAGTCCTCTGAAGGACTCCAGGTGATTTCCGGCCTTCTCGTGCCTTCCTCCCAACAGGTTCCTTCAGCATTCAGCATGAGCTCCACTCCTTCGCACGTTAATCACCAGGTTCAGCATCCCGCCCCGGGGAGGAGCTGCTCCCCGCGCTGCTCGGCCCGCCAGCGCACAGCTGGCAGCGGTGCTGGGAAATCCCTTCTTCACCGGGAGGAAGGTCGGCTCTCCCAGCCGCTCCTTCCTTCTCCCGCTCCCTGATTCATGCACTGCCCTCCCCTCTGCTCCTGACAGGTCCCCACCCTTGGCCAAGCAGGCTCCAACCTGTTCCGTCCCTCCTTGTGCTTACGGTGGAAATGCAGATGGTGAAACTTGTTCCTGCTTGAAATTTGTTCCAAATCAAACGCGCTTCTCGATGGCAGTTGTAACGAAACACAAATACCCCTGGTGGGTGATGAGGCTCAGTTAGCCCCAAACCATTGCTGCTCTCCAGCTCAGCATTTCCTGGGAGCCAGGCTCTGCCACATGCTGCCTGGCACAGAAGCATCACCTGGCACATCACCTTCATAGGATCACTGGGTTCAAAGGGACCCTTAAAGGTCCCCTCATCCAGCCCCCTGCCATGAACAGGAACAGCTGCAGCTCCATCAGGTGCTCAGATGGTGTCGCAAGGCCCTGGTATTTATCTGGAACATGGCAGGATCCTCAGCACAGTCTGTGTCATTGGATACTGCAGGCTATGAGAGCAATAGCTCGTTTGGTCTTTCTGCATTTGATTTCCTGGAGGAAGGGACCATTCAAACCGAGTCTGATCCCGGTGCGCTGGGAGTTACAGTGTTGTCCACGTGCTGTGTATTTTGAGACTGGTTAACTCCAGTGTACCATGAGGTTATTTTTGGAAAAACAATGGAGAGCAGCATTAATACAGGATTTAAAACACTGCGTTAGGAATGCACCCAGAACATAACGCACTGCTGGAAAAGCTGTGCACAGGAGGTGCACCGAAGTCCCCAGGCTGCAGCCAGGGTGTCCCCCATCCATCACTTCCCTTCCTCTGGAGCCACCAACTCCATACAGTGCAGAACTGGCTGCGTGGGGAGCCGGTCAGCCAGCCTTTCATCTACAAATCACAAAGTCTCTGGGGATTACATTCATCCAGGCTAAGTTAATACACCTAAATGCTGGATGTCTGCTCCCAGATCATCAGCAGGCTGAAGTCAGCGGGGATGCACAGCCATGCCTAAGTGTGAACCAGCACGTTTGGACACTGTGTCCTACATCACGAAGGGACTATCACTCTCCATTGGCTACAGCAGCAGGAGGACCAATGGCCATGGGCTGTTGGTCCCTGGGCTGCTGCAGTCAGGATGAACTCTTACCGTGCAAAGTGCTGGGGCAGAAGCAAAGGCAAGTGCGGTCAGAGGCTAGGAGCTGCATGCTGCAGGTGCAGAGTTCGCTGCTGTGGACAAAAGATCTGGGACAAAAGAAGTTTTGTAAATGTAAATAAGTGCGAGAGCCACTTAGAGAAAAGCATAAGGTGGCAAGGTGAACAGACAAACAAGGAAGTTAAGGGGAAAAAACAGCAAAGTAAGCAAAGGGGTATGGCATTCAATGGGCGTTTTTCTTGAGGTGCTTTGCCAGAGTGATACCATCACCCCATCGAGAACACAGGAAATGCACCACCACCACCCTTCTTTCTGCCTTCCTAAAGAACTAAAGGAGTGTCATTTATTTTTTTTTTTTTTTAAGCCATCAGATGTGTGTTTTCTGCTAGACAAACCTCTGCTTGCAGTTCTGTGCAGGGCTCTCCACCGTCTCCAGCTGGTTTGTAGGAAGCTGCTCTGCCTCCAAGTGCTTCTCATGCACACCAGCGCACAAAAACACCTGTGGTGTAAACCTCTCCATCACAGCTGTCAGCCTGGGCTGCTTTGGGTTGCAGGGGAAGGGCAGAGATCTCGTGGGCCACCTCACCCTGCAGACATGAGGAGCAGGTTGGAGGAAACATGCCATGAAGGTGTTTATCTCTCTGCACTGAGCAGAAGGAAAGCTCAGGCCATCGGAGTCAGGGACAGAGGTTTACCATGCAGACATCTAAAATTAGATGAGAGATATCCCATCCCTGTCTGGGAAAGAGATAAACGCCTATAATTGGCACGCCTGCTCTGATCAGCCGGCAGGATGTGGGAAGCACACAGCTGATATTTGTCAGCTAAAGTAAGGATCTTATCTGAAAGCATTGTCTATGTTCCTCCTGCAGTCAAGAGACAGAGATGACTACAGATGTTCTCAGTGCTCAGCAAACACAAGCACCTGGCTGGCACCGCATGGAGGCCGTGCAGCCAGGAACACAGGAAGCCTTGTGGGCTTTTTGCCCCTCTGTCTCAGCACTGCAACCTTTATCCTCCACCACAACACAGCGTGGCATTCAAACACACATCTACAGGTGTTTCTGGAAACCCATAAAGCCCCAAAACGTTCCATTGTGGATGATGGTGCCATGTGTACGCAGCAGAGGCAACTAGATGACAAAACCTGGAATTTTAGTTACTGCACAGAGATCTGTGTCAATGTAGATGCAGTGCCAAACCTCCCAGTTCTTTGCCCGAAGTTTCTGATCACAGCATTTTGGAATCACTCTCCTAACTCAGTGGCAGTAGATGAATTCCTTGCTTGCCACTCCAGGGCCCCTACAGCCTCTGTGCCATGTGGGGAATCCTCTGTGTGGCCATCAGGTCACCCCACTGTCCCTTTAGGGTCCTTTTGCAGGTTCAGATTAGCAGCTGCCAACCAGGGCCACAGAGTCCCTCTGCCCCACAGTGCTGCTCTGTGTTGGGCATATGATAGAGCATTTCCAGACATCTCTTCCTTCCAGAGGAAACAGAAATGGAATTGGGTTTAGGTACCGGCAGGAAGGGGGTATGAAGGGAAGGATGTGGACAATGAGCAAACCCCCCCGGGATGCCCTGCTCCGCAGGATGTGGGGCAGCTCCTTTTGTCAGTGACGTAACTGTTAATGAGAGCTTTGCATTTGCAAGACTCCTTGCTTCCTAAATAAGCACGATGGAGGCTCACACCTCCTGGAAGAGCTGCAGCAGCATGCTGGCACCAGCAGGACCCAACCTCAGCAGAATCTCACAGGGCCCTCCTACAAGAGAAAAATCTGCCCCAGAACACGACTGCAGGTATTTCTCTTGTTTACACCGCTCTGCCCCAGGCATAAGCAGCTCTGTCACCACCTCCCCTAAACTCCCAGGGTGCAGCCACTGAAATGCAGTAGAAAAACATGGGATTATGCTCACGTGAGCTCCTGCTCTGCATTCCCAGTGGAAAGATGAGGCCCCAGCATCTCTGCTGTCCCCAAGCAAGCTGCTGAGCAGGTCGAATGACTTCAGCAAAACGAGTACTCCCTCAACATGTTCAGCAGCTTTGGGCAGAACACATAGGATGCACAGGACAGTCCAAAATGCAGCAGGAAAGAAAAGCTCACCAGAGCAGTGTGGGAAGGGTCAGGAGATGATCAGCACACAGTTGGCCCCTCGCAGTGCAGGAGGCCCACCAGCAGCAGTGAGTGATACTCCTTGCAGGCAGGAATGAGCTGGACGCTTCCCAAGCACAGCACAGTTGCCCATGCAGAGCCTCCTACTCCATGCTGAGCCTCGGGGTCCCTCCCATGCTCTCACCAAGATTCTCAGCTTCCTGTGTAAGCTCCTGCCCTCTGCTCAACCCCTCAGACCATCAGGAAAACACAGGGCTGAGGCAGGCTGTGCAGGCACAGTATGCCCAAAAGATGGAGATATTGCTCGTGCAGGCATGCTGCAGTGGTGGTACCATCAGCCCCACTGCTGGAGGAGCTGATAACAGGCCTGGGATCACCAGGGCCCTATGAGTCTTGGCTCTGTGCTGCTCAGCAGGTGAGGAACAGGCAAAAAGGAGTTCTGATCGGAGCTCATTATATGAGAGATTATAAGAAATATGGGGCAAAGCATGGCAAAAGAAAAGGCAGGTGGGGATGGCAGGAGTGCCACATCTGTGGCACAACTCTTAGCAAAAGAGTTAGAAGCATGCTTGGTAATTTCTAGCTTTGATACACATTTACCATCTCCAACAGCAGTATTTTCATCTTCCTGGAAGAAAGAAGACACAGTTCAGCTATGGAGCTCAAGAAGGGAGATGAATTGCTCTGCACACCTGTTGAGCAGATCTGTAAACTTCTCCACATGCTCTCAGCAGTACTTCAGGACATCAAGGCTGCATGGAATCTTTCCTATACTCTGAGGATTCAACTCATGCCAGAGAATGCTGTAAGCAGACTGCACCAGGTCTATGCTTCTTCGTGGGGCTGTAGAGGTAGGAGAGCACAGAAAGGCATGGGTGTGGGTCACAGGGTAAACTAGCACAGTTCTGGTGCCCACTGCTTCTCAAAGGGCATCATGCAGTGGCACACACCACAGGCACCACACTTGTAGAATCATCCATCATCCTCTCCAAATGATGCTTCACCCCCAAGAGCTGTTCTTCATCCACTCTACGTTCACCTAATTTAAAGCTCCAGTGGAAAAATCTGCTCTTATTCCATCTCCAGTTTCTGCTCATCAGCCATGCCCAAGGCAATATAAACAAGATGGGGCAGTGGTTCAGCCCCATTCCTATGTCAGGAGCCATAATTCTGACCTGAGGGCTTGGTGTGGCAGGAACATGACTAAAATTTGCACTTTGTGGAAGGTGAGGACAGGTTTCAGAAATCTGGGAAGTGGTAACTACATTTTAACAGGGCAGGAAACACACACATCACTGAGGATGCTTGCAATCTTAGTGCTGTAGCTGTCTTGAGAAAAAGGAGAAAACTGTTAGATACAAACACCAACAAGAGATGTGAACACAGGAACAAACTGCAGAAAAACATGTCACCACCCAAAATAAAGATCAGGGATCCAAAAGGGTATCAGATGGCTGCCCCCAGCCCCAGCACATCTCAAAATATAACTGCAGCAAGAGACATCCCAGGTTTGGCTCTGCAGGCAGAACACTCCTGCGCTCCTGCTGCTGCACAAGAGGAAAGGACACCAAGGGTCAGCCTTTGCTTGCTGTTCACAGAAACAAGGAAGCCACAATCTAGCAGAAATGAGTGCTTGCAGAGGCTTGTCTCTCTTGACAATAGGGGAACAACTCCTTTAGAATGAACAGCAATCTCCAAACTCTGTAGGTGACACAGGAGAGCAGGCTGGATGACTAAGTGCTCAACACGGCTCCTTCCAGAAGAAATGTACATCCATTTATTCACTTAAAATACAGTCAGTGCCCCCAGGCTGATGCAGCAGAAAGAACTGTCCATAAACAAAACACTTCTAACGATTCCCTTTGCAAAACCTTCACAATGGGAAAGCAGCCTTTGGAACATTCAGTTAAAATAACTGTGTTTCGCTGCACTTCTGTACATAGCAATCGTTTAACTGCTGATCATTGCTGCTGCAGTGCTTGCAAGGTGCAGATTTTGCTACTGGCAATGTATATTCTCTCTCAAGGACCCTAAATTCTGGTTGTAAAGGTGCCATAAGATGCAGGCAGTGGCATGTTTCTAGCCTATTGGCATGCATCTCTGAAGAGCAGGACTCGTACTTTACATCCAAACGCTGTCTCCAGGTAACTAATGGCTGGGAAGCAGTCTTCTCTGGTCCTGTGCAGCCTCCAGTGCATGTCTCCTCTTTAAAAGGGATGACTATTAATTCACAGACAGCATCTACCTTGTTCTCTTAGCATGTCCCACACCTTTCTGTCCAAAACACACCGTGACCGCTGGCTCGGCTCCATAACAGTGGGGCGGTTGAAGGCATCTTCTGCACCAAGATTATAGGTCTTTCCATCCTCATATTAATAACTACAAAAGCAGATGACATCAACCACAAACCAGCACTATGAACTCTGAAGCCTCTTGCCCATAAACCGAGGAGAAGCTTCAGTTTTGGCCATTTGGCTGTCCCACACCCATACCACCAAAGGCAAGTGCTGTCCCCAGGCTAATGGTCCCATGAATGCTGCCGCCTTGCTGGCCCTGCAGCATCAACACCACAGCCACTACACAGCTCCAAGCAGCATCCAGCACCGGGTGCTCTGCCTTAGGAGGTGATGTATGCCCAGTCCTGTGTTCCCATGGCATGGGTAACACGAGTCCAGGTTTAAATTACATAGCAGGAAAGGGGTTAAAGTTTAAATGACTGTTTTGTATGTGAATTAATGTATGTAGCTTTGAGCCAAAATATCTACCATTAATTTTTCCACCTATTTCAGGAGCAGTAAGATACACAAAGTAAAGTTTATTTTGGTACTTGGTATACTTCACTCCCATTAAAAATAAATTAATCAGCAAATTCCTACACAGCTCAGCCTTCTTTTATGTAAATACAACCCAGCTGTAATGAATTACAAGGTGTTATTATCTCACACACACTGTATAATACTTCACACATAAGAGGTTTCTCTGCTTAGCTCAGCTTTCAACAAAAGCATCTTAAATAAACTGCAAGCAAGTTGTTTGGTCTGTAATGTTTTCACAGAGAAGGGATACACCTCACACATTGAGGGTTTCTTTACATGACTCATTTTATAACAAGTTAAACTGAGGAAGTTCGCCCTGGAAAAAAAAAAATAACAAAATGCCTTTTTTATACAGAGAAGGCTCCTTAAGAGAAGGCAAAGGGGAAAAAAAAAAAGCAAGCCAGTGTTTGGGAGCCTGTATGCTACACCCAACTGCTGTTCAGAGGAGGGATGTCAGGTACTCACCAAAACAGCTTCAGAAAGAAGAACAGTCACATCCAGGCAGTCACAATTTCAACGGAAACATCACCTCATCAACTAAAGAATTATCACCCTTGACTTTTGCATAATACTATTATTAGGAATACGCCTTAATATCAGAGGGCTGATTCTTATCAAAGTCTTGCAGAGCATAGAAAATGCACACGCATGGATTGTACCCAGAATGGCATTTATTACCAACTGCAATTTTGACAGGAGTAAAATGAAAACTGTTTTGGCCTGAAAATAGCCCTGTGAACCATCCACCTATGCAGTACACCTCAGCCTCTGCTGGTTTAATTAGTGGAGCTCCGGCTCCCATAATTACTGGATCAGTGTAATTTGCTTGCACAGCCATAACAACTGTTAGCTGGGGTTGATAGGTCTTGTTGAAAAGCCCTGGACCACTGCTTTGGGGTGGAAGGCAGCACGGTCCTATGCCATTAAGAGCCATGGACAGAAACAGAGATGTCATTTCAGGAAGAAATTCTTAGACCACAGCTCTAAAAAGGATATGGAGCTATCAGCAGGGCAGAGCTCCTCTGAAATACCAAGCACTCTGAGACAGCCTTGGGTGGCAGCCCAAACACGTTTCAGACTCTTTCTTCATTAAGATGGCTACAGTCACAGAGGACTACTGAGGACTGTGCATTATTCCTTGCATCCTCCTATTCTTGTGCAACAGAGCAGAGAGTTCCTAAGAAGGATTTTCATAGAAAATCCTTCAGAACCTGATAAATAATTCTTAACTCTATGAAAGAAAAATGGGCCGTTCTTTCTTGATACCAGGCTTTTAGAATTCATTAATGTCTACAATGCAAAGCACAGATTTGTATTCACAACCATTCAAGCCAGCAGAGGAATACCATTGTTTCTGTAGGTAGCAGCTCTCCAAATGAGGCAAGGGATAGAAATGGCTTCTGGAGATAACTAAATCACGGTTAAAATAGCTGTTTTCCCAAAGATGGAAGGCAGGTCTTGCAATCTGCGTGCAAGGACCACTCTGTGCCATAAAAAGAACAGAGGTTCTCAAGCCAGGTGAAAATTCAGAAGACTATGGCTGTCCAATTTGCTACCAAGTCACCACAGGTAAGACATCTATTTAAATACATTCTTTTTCAACAGCAAACTTTCCTTCCTGATCCCACAGCCTCAGCCCAATTCAGTTTCAGGCCTGTTTCCCAAGCTGCTTTGACGAATGCTCTCAGAGTCCTTCGTCGTTGTAAACAGGAGAAAGGGGCTTGAGGATGCTGCGAGCGTTGCTCTCCACGAGAGGCCTCCAGCTCACCTCACCTGTCAGCAGCAGGTCCTCCCCGCTCAGTGCATCCAGGTGCTGCACCTGCAGGAGATGGGGTGTTAGCACAAAGTGTCCTGCACTCCATTCAAGGTCCTCAAGAGCTATGCAAACACGTTCCTTTCTGGCATGCTTTGTCATTTTGGAGAAGTAGAGCGAAACAGATTCACGATTACTTAAGCGTCACAGAAAGGCAAGGAGATAAGTATCTGCAGATCAACTGCAGTTAACCACACGAGGCTGTCCGCTGATGCCTTAGCTAATGCTTCCTCTGAAAGTCTGGCAACAGGACAAAGAAGAGCCATGCAAAGCATTTCGAGTTCCAGGCAGTTAATTCCAATGACACACTGCCGGTATCATTATCTGCATGGAGAGCTCTAATAAGAGTGGTTTCATGTCAGCCAGGCCTTTCTCCTATAGAAGAGGACCAGACCAGCAGGGAACAGCTGAGATTTATGGGCTGGAGGAGCTGAACAGAGAGTGAACACTACAAGAAATAACTGACATCAAAAGAAACGTTAAGGTGTAATGTAAGCAAAACACTCAGTGAACACTTCAGTACTGTTGTCACACAAGGCACTGTTAACACACTGTAAATGCAAGCTTGCTGCCACAGGACATTTCAGGGACTTGAGAGGGGAAAATGGGTATGGAAGAAGAAAAAGGGCCTAGCAAGAGGCATTAAAACTCAGAAGTATCACCTCTAGCTCAGGACATCTCTGAACACAGATTGCTGGGAGAGTCAACCAGGGAATTAGTACCCATGCCAGCCCTGTTGTTGTATTCTTCTCTGTGCATCCACTAATAGCCACTGTTAAAGACAGGATCAGCAAGAACTTGTGCAAAAGATATCATACACAAAGGATTTACAGTGTTTACAAGAAACACAATATAATTTGACAAGCAGTTTCTCAACAGAGGAAAGAATACAGCAACAGTCACAGGATCAGACTTAAGAGCCACCTACACACAGCATTGTGTTACTGAGAGTCAACAGACTTCCCAGCAGCAGTTCAATGCAATGCACAAACACCATCTTACTTCCTTATTTCCCACCCCTCCTAAAATTTGTTAGTTCAGAGATTTTGAGCCTGAAGTGGTTGTTCTGTACTTAATACCCCTAGACAGGTTTCTCTTCCATAAACCTTGCCAGTGACACTGGAACCGACACAGCATCCCAAGCAACGTGTGGCAATACATATTTAGCCTTTCCTTGCTGTATTGGGTTTAAGTAGCAAGGGTTTGGTAGTGAGGAGGGATGCAAGAGAGAGAGAAAGAGAGTCTGTAAGAAAGAGTCTGTAAGCATAGCCCCATATCAGACCTGAGCCAGCTCCAGCCCCTCCAAAATGGACCTGCCAGAGGAATTACGTTGGTTGTATGTCTGGGAGAACAGATGGAAGAACAAACTGCTGTGCAACAGTGCAACAGCAGCTGGGAGAGATAAGTGAGAAATCAGAAATGAGTGCTGCAGACAACCAGATAGTTGGAGCAGTCTGCTTCTGAAGGATGGGCCCTGTGGTACAGTCATGCTGGAGCAGTGCTTGGAGAGGTGCAGCTCGTGGGAAGTCCATGCAGGATCTGTTCAGAGAGGATGACATCTATGGGAGGGGCCCCATGTGAAGCAGGGAAAGGCAGCAACCAGCAGGGAACAGCAGAAAGGAAGCACCAGGGACTGATCACAGCTCCTTTTCTCCATTCCCTAGCACCACTGAGACATGGAACAGAGGTGTTTTCAGTTTGCTTTTAGTTCCCATTGTTCCAGTCTGTTAGTAGTTAGCAGCACAAACTACACTAATTTCCCTATGCTGAGTCTATTTTGCCTGTGATTGTAATTGGTGAATTCTTACCTCAAGCTGTGAGCTTTTTTCCCATCCTGTTTTCTCCCCTTGTTTTTTTGAGGAAGGGGAGTGAGAGAACAGTGTGGTGAAGCTTAGCTTCTCACTAGTGTGCAACTAACACACTCACCTTCCATACACCTTACCTTCAAGGTTTCATAGAGCTGTCTCATATTCTTTCCCAGCTGTTTTAGAGGCAAGGAACCTAGTCACTGCTGATACAGAATTTGTTTCCTCCCAATTCCACTGCTCTTCTCTGAGCCTTGTTCAGTTCAGTTTTTATCTTTCTTGCTGTTTTGGGCCATTAAAGATTACTAAAATCATAATGATATCATGGACTCAAAAAGTGGCACCATGACACTGTAGTTTATTATCTATTCCTTCCTTAGTAGTCCTGAGCATTTGTTTTACTTTTTTTCAAACAAATGAGCACTGAGTTGTCATTTACATATTAAAATTATAATCTCAAGGACTCATTCTTTGTGGTCTTCTGATAGTCTAAAGCTCATCTCTTTAAACGTAAAGCTGGACTTATTTTTCCCCTTAAGTGTACCACTTTGCAACTGTCTACACTCAACTGCATCAACCACTTCTTAATGCAGTTATGAATTCTTACTGCAACAAACCTTCTCTCTTCTATTAAAAATTGAGGATTTATTGACTCTATTGTCTATATTTCAATCACTTCCTTGTCTGTGAGAGTACATTCACTCTTTCCCTGTGACTGCTCAATTTTTTTCTCTCTTTCAAAAGAAATCATTGCAGAGGTGTTTTTTTGGATGTTTCCTAAAAATCCATAAAGATGACAAATCAGATACTTGTTATCTACACTGATGCTTTCAAGCCACAGATGGGTGTGACGTGACTGCCTCCATAGAAGCTGTGCTGACTTTTCTCCAATGTGCTACATTTATCTGTGTAATCACTATTTCCTATTAGGCTGCTGACAGCTTCTTTCCCATCTTCTGCTTCAGTTTATAAAGTTGCTACACACTTTCCAGATGGCAGTGCATAGCCAGCACACACTGCCTGCTGGCATTCCAAAAGCATCCTCGGTCTCTGACAAATTCCCCTCATTTTCTATTCCATTTTCTGAGTTACCCTTAAATACATCTCCAACTCTCTATCTGGTCCTAAATGCAGCGTTAGAGACACTACTGAAAATGCTGCTGTGGAATTTCTGGTCACCAATTTCCTGTCCCACAGCTACACCCTTCCTCCAGCCCTCTCTCACCCATTTTCTGTCTCTGGTACCCACATGGACCACATTTTCCAGGTCCTACCCAATGCTTCTTAGAAATCTGGCTCAAAAACCTCCTAAAGGTTCAGAGGACAAACACTATTTAACATATTTTCCTCCACGTAATAACTGAATGAACCTGGAAAACAAATACTTTACATCTTTCCCCAAACAATCAGAAGACTTTTAATCACTGTATGTAAGCTACTTCATTATCAAGAGGATTTAGTCTCCACAGCACCAGCTGTAACTGTACAACAAGTTACCATCCACTGCTGGAACGTTTTGTTGAGTCCCTTCATAAAGTGGGACCAGGAAAAGAATAAGCAGGGATGCTCTCAATCTTCTGTGAATTTCTCTCAAACTGCAACGACTCTGTTAGTTGTTATGTTTTTACTTTTATCTTCTTATAAACATCCAACCGGTTAAAAAAAAAGTGATAAAGACAATGGAACTACGTAGTATCCAAGCAATAAAAATAAATATTCAATACCCCAACCAAGAGAATGAAGAGCAGCTGTGCTGCGCAGGTACCTGCTTGCGCACATACTCCACGAGTAACTCCAGATGCCGAGGGTCCTCACAGTTCCTGTTAAAAAGGTTCCTCCACAGAGCTGCTGCCAGAACGTGATCATCAGACAGGATTCCCTACAGGAAGTATAGAGAGGGGTTAAAAAGTGCACACGAAGAAGGTCTGAACAAAAGACAACTGAAACAGTGCAGTCAGAAGTGCTGAGGAAGCGTTGGTCCCTCTGTACTTGGCACTGGTGAGACCACAGCTCAGGTACTGTGTTCACTGCTGGGCTCTTCATTACAAGAAGGACACTGGGGCCCTGGAGCATGTCCAAGGAGAGGCAATGAAGCTGTGAAGGTCTGGAACACAGGTCTTATGAGGAGCGGCTGAGGGAACTGGGATGGTTCAGTCTGGAGAAGAGAAGGCTCAGGGGAGACCTTATCACTCTCTATAATTCCCTGACAGGAGGCTGTAGCAAGGTAGGAATCAGCCTTTTATCCTAGCTGATTTGTGACAGGATGAGAGAAGTTGCATCAGAGGAGGGTCAGGTTGGACATTAGGAAAAATTTCTTCTCAGAAAGAGTGCTAATGCACTGGCACAGGCTGCCCAGGAAACTGGTAGAGTCCCTGTCCTTGGAGGTGTTCAAGAAATGTAGGATGTGGCACTGAGAGACATGGTTTGGTGGACATGGTGGTGGTGTGTTGGCAGTTGGACTTGATAGAGGTCTTTTCCAATCTTAATGATTCTATGATTCTGCTCTACTTGGCACGTGACAAAATTAGATGTCTCAAACACACAGCTGGTGTAGACTGTACATACAGAAAGACACCTACATCACTCTTTTCCAGAATGGAAAAACAACCCTGGGCTTAAATTAACTGATTTACAGAGCAGCTTATAACAAATATTCTGGCAAATTAATCTGGAAAAAGCCTAGGTTAGGCTATTCCTAATGTAGGAGCTGATAAATGTATTTCTAGAAGCTATGAAGTGACACAATCACAGAACTGTAGGAGCTGGAAGGAACCTTTGGAGATCTCCCACTTCCTCCTTCCTGCTAAAACAGGTTCCCCAGAGTAGGTTGCACAGTAAAGCATCCAGGTGTGTCTGAACATCTCCAGAGAGGGAAACTCCACCACCTCTTTGGGCAGCCTGTTCCAAGGCTCCATCACTCTGACAGTAAATGTTTTCTTCCCTATGTTTAAATGGAACTTCCCATGTTCCATTTTGTGCCTGTTGCCCCTTGTTCCATTGCTGGGCACCTCAGAGAAAAGCCTGGCCCCATCTACTTGACTTCTGCCCATCAGATATTTACAATATCCTCAAAAACATCAAAAACAGCACCACCTCACAAAGCTGCACGAAGGCTGTGACGCTTGGAGAAGAAAAACTGAAAGGATGTATAACATAATGCTGCAGAAAAGTAATCACGGCTTTGCAATTTTGCTTTTTTTGTCCATTTTCTGTTTAAATGAGGAAAAAATGAATTATTCATCACAAACTATCTACATTTTTCCAGTTAAATCTAATATTATTTTTGGCTTACACAAGAACCACATCCACAGGCGCTTTTGTCTAAATTCTCTCTTACTTTTATTGTCTTTTTAGATTATATGGTGTTAGCACCACAGTCTTGTAACTTCTGTCTTCAGCTGACACATTTGCCAAAGGCCAGAGAGGACTTTAAAATATTCAGTTAAAAATGAAAGAGGTCAGCATTTGTGTTTAACTAGACATCTTGTTTCCAAAGAGATTGTAAGTGGAAAAAAAAAAAGACAGAGAGACACATCCTGGCTATGCTTAAAAGTAGACTAAGACTTGCAATCTAAGTTTACCAGATAATAATAATGCAAATCAATGTTTTAAAAAATAACATCATCACGTGAACGAGAAGAATATCTGAAGATCAATATCCACTAGAGCAAATATATTAACTATTAAAAGAGCTGATATAAATGTATTTTCCCTTTGAAAGCCCCATAGATGCTTGTGCACAGTGGTATTTCTGGCTTCAATTATTCAGCAGATAATTCCTTAAAAACTCTCTCACTTAGTCACTCCCAATAAATATTCTTTTTGCTCTTAAAGTATAGCTGAGTACAATGGGATTCAGAGGGAGAAAATGTCACTGACAGTAGGGGTGGTGAAGAACAAGAAAGAACATTCCTTCTTCCATTTTCCATGGTTTAAACTGGTATGTTAAGTGCTTTCTTTTCTCCTTGAGAGCACTGTAATTCAAGACCTAAGGTGATCACTAAGAATTCTGCTTCCACAATACAACATCTCTCTGAGGATACACACAACAAACGTGCTACTTATCTGCAGCATTCTCTGCTCAGTTTTTTCTTGCACATTCTCTGAAAACATCCTTCTTACCTCATCATATCCAAACAGAGCTGCATAGAAATTTTCCACCATACTTCTCAAATCTTGCTTTAGAACAACAGAATTAATCTGAAAAATTAAACAGAAACACATTTGTATGGTTTTCAGGAGGAAAAGAAGACAAAGTGCTTTGGTGCAAATAGGTAGGATTTGGTTGTAAGTAGTGATGTTCATGTTGTCAAAGGTTTTAGAACAATTTACAATACTTTTAGTCTGTGCACAAAAGACAGACAGACAATGTTAGAACTTTCAAAGAGCACAAAAACTTCAGTCACCAGAGCTGATGTACAGGCACATGAGTAGAGGAAAAAAAAAAAGCAACTGGGTGAAGAGTGAAGGCAGTGTAGTTCACTTTCAGTAGTAGCACTGACTAACACAGTGAAGACTTCTACACTTTAACTATTGGGCAGGTTTTCCAGACCTTGGGTTCATTCATACGGAGCTTTTAGAAACTCTGTAGTCTTTCAGTATTTTTTTTTCTAAAGCAAGGACTCCAAAGCTGGACATTCCATAGGCAGAAGTGATGTAATGCTAGAGATAGAGGCAGCATCCCTACCACTTCTTAATTACTTCTCAATATGGATGTGCGCATTCAGGAGTCACATTTCTGCTCTTACAGCATCTCACTAGAAGCTCAGACTTGCTATTGTTCACAAACACTACATTTCTTACAGCTTGTAACAATACAGCTACTTCCCCCCACGCTCTGTGGCTCAGTTTAAGTTCCACGCTAACTTTTACATAATCTAACAATTGCTTAAGTAGATGTTAGTCTGCTCTTCACCACCCACTGGCTTGAACAACTGACCCATATGTAAGCTGAAGACAGAATGAAAAGTGATCAACTGTTAGGTCCAGAGCAATGGCTGGAATAACTCACATGCACCTCCCTGGTGCAAACTTCTACTCCTTCTGCCTGTATCTTTTACCTCTACCAACAGAACAATTTAATATACAGCACTTCTCCCGAGGGCTGAACTATGCTTCCATAGGTAAATCATCTTTTTATTTATTTTACACACCTCACATCTCGGAAACAGCTTTTACAAATAACAAAACACTGACAACAGGGGTAGAAAATCAGTTCAATGGAATGAGCACAACTGTCTTTGACGTACAGCTTATGACAAGGCTAAAGAAAAGCTGTGAAATAATCACATCCAGTATCTTAAAACTCATGAAGGCGTGAACCACATCCCAATACATACTGAGCATCCCTAAGAGACTCAAGTTGGTGCTAATACAACTAACTTTTCTACCAAAATGTGATTTATTTTTTACCATGCTAGCAAATCTCCAGCTCACATATTCTTCCATTAAACCACTATCTTTTTTCATCAGTTGATTTTTATAGAAACGCATATAGTGCAAACACAAGGAAAATTCCTTTCATGTCAGTTACTCATATTTTTCCATTAATATAAACTATTAAAATTCATGCAGATATTTTATAGGCTATCAAGATTTGGTGACTGGTTATTACTGAATGTTTAAAAAAAGAACTAAACATAAGAAATCAGAGGGTTAAATGATGACTGCAACTTCTGTAATGACTTAATTAAATTTTTATTGAGTACATAAACTATGATGTCATTTCTACCCAACCATGCTCAAACTTTCTATGCATGTCAGAGATCGTGGTTTTTCTCAATAGAACGTACTTCTAAATAAGCTGCACTTCTACAGCTCTAATAAGGGGGAGCAGGTCTCATGTAACACACTCAATAAATTATCCTTCCATTTTTAAACAAACAAATTCCATGAGTTATTATATATTTGCCACGCACTTTTTATGACATAATAAAAATGTTACCTCAAGGATTACTTAACACATACTACAAATGTTACAGCAGGCAACTGCAAGGGGCAAAGAAAACAAATAGTCCCATTACAGAGACAAGTCCTGGACTATACGTCCCTCGGGACACAGCTTTCTGTACTAAAAACAAAGAGCAGCAGCTTTAAGTTAGCAAGAAATAGATTGATGAAGGAGATAACCAAGTTAAACAAACGCAGCAATAAATACATCTTAAAAGACAAACAGTTTAAAATGTAAAATGTGACTTTGGGGATGGAGCAGTATCTCAGGCAATAAAATTACATTTAAAGGAAAACTGCAGTTTCTGAAGAATACCACAGCCCAGGTTAAGTACAGTCACTGCAGGAAAAGAAAAAAACAACACTCTTCTTTATAAAGCAAGAAAAATGAACAAATCCACATCAGGGTTTGTTGGAAATGCATCCTCTTCTCAAACATGTACATGTTCTTACCACTAGCCAGTTTCACAATCTGGTTGGTCATGATTCTGCAGACTCTTCTACAGTTCATTATTAAGAACAAGAACTGCCAGACAATTCCAAGTGAGTAATTGCTAATAACAAGAAAGAAATCAATAACATCTGGAGCTCTTCTAAGAACTGAGCCCTTTGCCTTCTTTGCAACAACCCACTGTAGAGCTATCACCAGAATAAATTTACATCCATCACCTTAATTGACAAACAGAACCATCTTAGATCAAAATACAGAACGTGGTTGTGTACATCTTCCTACACGTGACAGCTTTTCATTAAAACACTCCATCATCCCACACTGCCTGCAAAACTACAGCATGCGCTCTGCACTGTTATACTGCAGTGAGAAACCTTATCTTCAGCTTCAACAAGTCCAAATGCACTGTTCAGCAGCCAGATGCTGAGGCTTACAGCTATACCAGGCAACTTATGATATCATGTCGCAGTTGAGGCTTTTTTATTCTAACAAAATTTGTAGGGATATAAGAGCACACTGCTCTATTGCTTATGCTAACCACATATGGAAATATCTCATGTACAGGTACAGTTACATTGAAAGCTGCTTTAGGATAAGTCTGCATTAATGCCTTCTGCTGAATGGAGAACGTTCTTTCATAATGAATCTCCCCCTCACCTGCACTTACCATCTTTGGTTTACACTGCAGAAAATTCCCAGAGTGCAGAAGCAGGAGAATAATGTGCTGAGATGTGCTCAGCCTGCAAAGGGACGTTCGCCCCATGGGATCAGCCCAGCACCAGCACAGAGTGAAGAGCAGACCATAGAACAGGGATGCTGGATCGTCAGCTGTTTCCCTCAGTGCAGATGTTCCCTATTGGGCCATAGGGCACGCGATTGCTGACAGAGCTGCCATCTCCACAGGCTACATTATTTGAAAGTATTTTAACAGGAGTTTCTTTTTGGTACTTTTTTTTTTGCCAGCATGTATTGCCCTTAAGCTACTTTAACACATTAATCCATCCATAGACTATAAAGCCAGAAGGGACACTTCTAACCTCACCTTGTGCAAGCACTGGTCATTGAATTTCATGCAGCAATTCCTCTCTTTAGGCCATAAGTTATGGTTGAACTAGATTTTTTTATGAAGAGATTTCAGCCAGAAGAAATGATTAGATCATAGAACCTGACCCTCTGCATATCACAGGCCATTACATTTCACTGAGTTCCCTCTGTACTAAGCTCAGTAAGTTGTGCTTGGCTAAAGCATATCACCCTCACAGCTGAACATGTGTATCTCATTTCATATTTGAATTTTCTGGCTTTAGCTTCCACCCCCTCACTCCCATTATGCCATTCCTGCTAGAATATAAAGCTTCGTCTGTACCGTACAATGTATTTGCTCCTGCACACACACAGTAAGAGTGTCACCAAAGTCCCCTTTTCTACCAAACTGAGGTTTGTAGAGGTAAGTTTGTGCTGGCTGCACTGATGTGCTGCATCATCAGAGCACACCTGCAGCACTCAGAAGCTGTAGCAGCAAAGCAGCGTTTATGCTGATGCAGTGAAATCAGTCCATCTCTTGTGCAAAACAAGTCATGCAGGTATGAGAAGCCTTCTGCTGTTATGACTGAGTCTACTCCAAGGACTTCTGCTTGCCACGCTGTCATAAACATGAATCACTCTTATTTACACTTCTGATTATTGGAACAGTCAGTGTCAGCAGAAGTTCCTGAAGAAGACACAGGACAAACCTTCCACAATATTTTTTTTGCCATTTCTCTGGCATTCAGGCTTTTTTTTTTCCCCTCTCCACACCTTTCCCAAATCTGCATTTGGAAAGAATGACTTATATACAGACGTTTACGTGACTGGTAAATAAAGGAGCCACATACAGTTATATACAGGCATTTGAAGTGTTTTGCTGCCCTTTTAATAAATGCACATGGCATAAAATGGAGAAGACTGCATACAGCCCTTTTATTTCTGCCAAGAACATAACTACTACTTGTAGGACAATAATCTTGAAAATGACTGAGACTGCAGTTAAGATCAAAAAGATTGAATTAATAAAGCAGATTCAAAATACCTTCTTAGCAAGGGGCCGAAATGGCTCACTCCTTCAGGCAACCTCACATAGCTGAATGACAAAGAAATTGCAGAAATTATTTTTCCAATCTTCATTTTTTGAGTCTTTTATTAACCACTGCTGCTTTGTCTGCAAATAAGGTCAAGTTTACTGGCTTGCAATTAGCTGCAGCTGTGACTCCCCATATACTTTAAAATACTAACTTTTTGACGATTCTCATTAAAAGTCATTAATTTTGTAATGCACCACAGCAGATAATTAACTTTGGTAAATGGTCTTTAAAGCCTTCTTAAATGTTCAGTGACAACCTATTTTAACATTGCACACTAACCTACACTAAAGCTAAATACATTTCAGATTGTATCAGAACCAGTTTCTGCCAAATGTTAAATCTATTAAAACAACATGTTATTGGAAAGAGTTCTTTTATGCTCTGCTACCTTCACAACTGCAGTTACCAATAACACACCTCAGAGCATGCATGTTTTCCAGGCAGAAGTAGAAAAGCAAGTTATACTACATTATCTACATATTTTAGCAGAAATAATGATGGTCACCCCTAGATGTTTAGTAGAAGGTACGTTTCTATCTTGCAGTCTATTAATTTGGAAACTTTGCCATGGTAACAGTAAAAAATGCAGGAGGTCACCATACAATCCTAATCATACTGAATATATGGGGGCTTATTCTGAATTTTTCTTTTCTCTGTAGTGCATGGCTGGCAGAGCTCAC